TTTTTTTTTTTGTGACCAAATTCTCACTGCTGCAATGATATTGACAAAAATAATGTTTTTTTCCTTTCATTTTCTGAATACTTGGGTCCTAATACTTCAGAATAACCCAGCTGAGTGTTGAAGCGAAAAATATGAATAACATAATCTAAAAATGATTAGCACATACCTGTTCTATGCTAACTAAACTTTTGAAGCTAGCTTACAAGTGAATTCTACAGATTTTTCTATTTGCGTTTAAAAAACATTTCATAGATGTAGCAAAGCCATGCAGAGTGATCTGATGTGAAATGGCTCTGATTTCTTTTCAGTGGTGGTGATAGGAACCAGGGGTCGCCATGACTACAACACAAATAAAATTGTGTTCACTGTCCAAAACCACCGGTGAACCTACACGAGTCTTATGAGACGTTTTAGGCCAAAATCCTCTCAAATCTATCGTAAAACAATGACTCAGGCATCAGACAGTGAATTCATAACCATTTCATGTAGTAACTTTCTGTAAGGGAGCTTTTAGAGGTGGACGTCTGGTTCCTATCACCACCACTGTGAACAGTTCTGATTCTGTTGTTTATATCTGAACCATTTTATTATGGAGAAATATTGAAAAATCGGTGAAATTCCATGCAATTGAGATGTAACTGTGTGAAAATCCCAAAAGAAAATGAAAAGATCTCTCAGAGCTTTTGTACCACACAGCTTTATAAATCCATGCAAATAAACAGTGGATTGTTGTTTTTCTTCTTTTATTTGCTGCAGTTGTGCTGAGCGTGCTGTGTGGCCACATTTGTGTAAAGATAACAGCCTGTTTGTTATCTTTTCGCCATATCTTGTAATTGAGAGAGGTTATCTGGGCTGCATTCGACTGATGCGTGCAGAAACCGGCAGTGCTTTAGATTAGCATGCTCCAGCAGGCTGCACACCAGGTGGGAGATTTCCTGTAGGCAAAACTCTGTGTGATCTTAAAGCAGAGGAAACTCTCCCCTCCCCAGAGATTGGCCCCCCTAACCCTGCCCCGCCAACCCCTCAACCCCCCCCCACTGCGATCAGCCTCAGCACCTTCCTCAACCCTGCAGCGCTCCTGCCGGCTGGAAGCCCTTTTAGAGACGCAGAACGCGAAGCAGAACAAAGGCGATTACGCCCGTCCCTGTGCTGTCTCAGAGGAGCAGGGCAGATAAGATGATAAAGCCAATTATCTTATAACGCTGCAAAAGAATAACATGTTGGGCTGGCCTGGACACTTAGGCAGCAATTTTGCCTTTTTGAAAATGTATAATTGAGTAAAATGCATAAGCGATGCTGGTTGGAGAACAAGGCCAAGTTTATGCAGCATGCTTTTTACTTTTTATATGGCATACATATTCCCTGGCCACTATATTGGAAACCCCCAACTTGTACCTCCAGTTAGAGACTGCAGCTCATCTGTTGATACACAGTTTGTGTTATACATCCTCTAGTCCAGGGGTCGCAACACAAATGTTAGGAAGAGCCATTTTTGTCCTTTCAACAAAAATCAAACCTCCTTGGGAGCCACAAAATGTTATGTCCATTTTACCACCTTGGCTGTAAATGTGTCTCAGTTTGTGCTAATTTTCTAGTATAGACTTAAAATAACAGACTTACTTTGCTCTGCTTTAAGCTTTAGCTCAGCTATACCTGCTTTTCTCACATCTCTGGCAGGAAACTTTTCCACAAAAGTGGAACAGTTTCTTGTAAAACGTCTCTCAATGTTGGCTGAAGGCTGAAGTCGCTTCTCGTTCACCAGCTTCCTGTTCAAATTTTCCTGTTCCACCTTAAATGGAAAATGTAACTGATGCATCATTTAAGATGGAACAGGAAAATTTGAATGAGAAGCTGACTTCAGTTGACTTTTTAGTGTTTGTCAGTTTCTCGTTGCAGATTAAAACCAGCTGGAGTGATTATAAATGCAAATCCATCTCCAAATTATCGATATTCATCTTAAATCTTTCTCTTTGCCTTTTCATTAGCTACTAGCTAGGCGGAATTGTTGTCATTGCTATGTTGACCGGCAGTCTGTTTGCCGTTCTTCAGGGTTAAAGGGTGAATTAGCAGAGTTTGCATAGAACAAGATACATGTTGAAGTTTTAAGGATTCCCATCACGTTCCCAAGAGTTTGTTTAAAGCAGTTAAAAGCTAGTAAATGAGATTCTTTTTTGTTTCTGAGTTTTTGTTGTAGCATTGTTTTGGCGGTGACCTTACATTTTATTTTACATAAAAGAACAGTTTGTGAATTGTTGATTTGCATGAAAAAAATAATAAAACCAATAAAGTCTCTTCTTATAGAGTCCAATATCTCATTGTGCTTTAATGAGACAAAAAAAAAAAATCTGCAATAAATATATACAGTAAGTGATGAGATAAAACCGCAGGAGCTTAAAAAT